CGTGACCAGGACCGAACTCGTGAGCAACCAGTGATGCTTGACTTCGGTGATCTGCTGGGAAACGTGTCTTAACGATCAGTCCACTGCGGGACACACCCTTAATAATAAATACAGATATATTCCAATTTAAAAATGCACTATATAGTTTCTAATGTATGTATTTCCGTTTCAAAATATCAATGATACGGAATTATTTTGATAGTTCTATCATTAAATTAAAAAACGATTTGAAAATACGAAAATTCAAGTGACTGCTTTCATCTAAAAGCTTGAATTAGAATTAAGTAAGACAAGGCTTATAGCTTAACCGAGTCTTTTAAATAACTATGGTCTCTTAAGATGTTAAATAATTTCAGATTGACGGTTGCACTCCTAGATCACTACTGATTTTTTTTTTTTTTTTAATATTTGTATATTTTTGAATTATATGTAATGTATCTGAATTATATGTAATGTACCAGTACAATTCCAATTCACCAGAATATAAGACATGTTAACTCGATTTTATGGTGGGGTACCTTTTCATAGATGAAGGTTGACATGGTCGACAGCTACCTAGTCCCCACATTGGTGACCTTCGGATGTGATGTGAACACGCCTACCTTGACAGAAACACCCACTTCAATTTGAACACACCTACATTGATGGATAGTTCGCATTGAACAGTTGACTTGCTACTTGTGACTGCGATATTGTCCTTCTCACGCTGTTACTTCTCAGTCTCGATCACACACAACGTATACACTCGACTGTTAAGGGCAACACAGGAGTGACCATGACCGTGAACTTAATACAGCTCTCACAATCAACACGCAAAAAGTATATTGATCTTAATACAGCTCTCCCGGTTTTTCACAAAACAGCAATGAATCAACTCGTGGTATCCGTTCATCGAATTCAATCACAGATATAATTCTGGTGCGGGAGTACTGTAGTGTGCCTACCGGTACAATTTCAATTCACTAGTATATAAGACATGTTAACTTGATTCTATGGTGGGGTACCTTTTCATAGATGAAGGTTGACATGGTCGATAACAACTCTCGCCACATATACAATAACACACTGAGAGCCGCTATAGATAATAAGTGGCATATATAGCATATCCAACATATGCTGGAATATAAATAAATCCATAGAAACTTAATTTTTACTTATCTTTTTCTGCACTAAATTCAAAATTGTCACTTTTTATGTGCAATGAAGATAGAACAAAAGGTAGAGTTTAATGGCTCATTCACCATGATGAGTCAAAAGGGGCTTTACCGTGCTACAAACTTGAACGGAATTAAGAATTCAAGTTAATCAAAAGGTGTTGGGGGAAAAAAAAGGAAAACAAGACACACTTACTGAGACACCTAAAGGTGATAAAACCCTAACAAGCAACAACAGTAGATAGTTTACACCAGTAATGCGGTTGGTGCAATTTTGAAGCAGTTTACGTGTCAATTATCAATCACCGGAATTTAAATACCTGAGACAGAGGTGAGCGCACTATCCACCTAGTTTTAGTTTTATTTTATAACCGTCGTGGAACATTCGATCCAATTTTTTGGATTTACGACATAACGTTCAACTCCGTAGCCTTACAATTTTGAACCCAATCCAGAAGACAAGGAAACTTCTGGAGGTGAATTGTATTTTGTATTGGGAGAAATCGGCCTTAATGGAGCACTTTTTGATGGAACTCGCATTTGCGTCACATGGGAGAGGAAAACCACGAAAACGTCCCACGGTTAGCCTGACGGCAAGAGGACTCACTCACGATCCGTTTACCACTGAGGATATTTTACGTCAGCACTGTGGTCGGTGCGAGCCGGTTCGGAATTCGTATCGACCAGCTATCGCTGCTATTCGAACACGGTTCATCTCATAGGGAGGCGAATGTTTTATTGCCTAAACCACCTCGGCACCAAGTTTAGTTTTGTGAAAAAAAACTAGAGCATTTCTCTCTCTCGTATGTCTGTTAACGAAGAGGGGTGCGGTTGTTCTTGTTTTCCAGTGGCGCCATCTACACCCGTTTATAGGGCAGATCCATTCATTCTTCCACAGATCGTAATTTTGACCTGAATCAGAGAACGATCAATCTCCAATCCAGTACCCCCAGAGGTATTAATTTGTTATGGGAACATGGGGGACTTTGCGAATCGACAGATGTACCGTGCATCAGTCATCATTTACTACATGGGGAGTCTTCGGTCGGCGGGGTTCGAAACCACGACATGGGCCCAGCACCTTACCGACTATACAATCCCGGCAACTAGAGCATTTAAATAATATATATAATATGCAATAATACACAGCCTAAATAGATTATGAATAACATTTAGGATGATTCGTAGTAACTGTCCTTGATATAGATATATACATTTGAAGCCTTGTAAAAGAGAGGTCATAAAAACATACACATTAATAATTTAAAATGAAAAAAAAACTTTTCAATGTTATCAATAACTACTGTAATTAAGAAATAAAAATAATTTAAACACCAAACTATTTGAAAATAAAGCTTAAAGATAGTTCCTATAGAAAAGAGAAAACATTCTAACCCCATCAACCAAATAAATAGGTGTTACACGATTTTAATCCCCGCTTTCTCATTGACTTTAACAATTAGCACAAGTTCGGAAACAATTGTTTTTTTCTCCAAATATCAGTAATAGCCTGCCTATAAAGCCGTCAAACCATTGTTATTTAGAGAAATGGTGACAGTCCTGAAACAATAGTTGCTGATATAACTAAAAAGGATGCACACCTCTTCACTGACTAAATGGCGATACTTGCCATGAAAACAATGATAAAAATGCTAGTAACCCAGCAGCTGTGTCTATTCAATTCATTCCTGATAGCGATGTTTAACAAGGAAACTGGTTGCAAAAGCAACTGTTTTTCGTTTTCTCCGAATAGAGGAAATAATATTATTTGGAAACGCTGACAAAGCTTAGAAAAACAATCCAATTGAATAATTCATCAAACTTTTTGATGGAGTCATCATTCTGAAATACCACAAACAACCTAAGCACTTAAGTAATTCAAATATGCTGGCCTGAGATTTCTGTCCTATTAACCCTTTGACACCGTAAGGATATATGTGTCCCTTAAATATATTGTTTTCTGGTGCTCCAATTGCAAGCAAAAATAGATTTTGGTATTTTTTAATTATAAAAAAAACAACAATTTAATAGTTACTAACAAAAATCTGTTTGATTATCGGCATTATATTTGTACTAAAGTATAAAAAAAGTAGTTGAGTAAAAACAATTATTCATGATCAAAAATTAATCAATAATTAATTATGTAAACTATAGCGATTTCACTGATGAATAACTCGCATGGCTTCATGCTTTTTTTCATAAAAATACATTACTAAAGTGCTTAACATTATATTTTTCACTTATTTTGACTTACATTAACACAAAATAAAGAAAAATATGTTCCATTAAAATTATGAGTTAAACAGGTAAGTTCCCACATCTGACTTCAACATCTTGGAATAACTCAAAGAAACACGGCGTGGACACGAGTTTTAAGCGGACATCGAAGTCGAGGTGAGAGTGCACAATTGGTCAAAACAGAGGTCAATAATTTTTTACGAGTAACGCGCTATGCAAAAAGCGATAGGGTAGAATAAATGCCTGAGCGGTTGTATACTTTAATTTCATTAAGTAAATAGTATGAAATACCTTCAAGCTCATCATTTATTCACTGCATCTAATATTTTGAAAAAATTTTTGAATTTTGATTTTAAAAAATAATAATTTTTCAAATAGGAAACCTTTGCATGTTAATACCTATGTCGATAGCATAGATATTAAATTACTGATTTATTTATAGATTTAGTGGAAGTGGAATGAACATAAGCGATGTGTAAATGTGCCAAGGTCTAGAAACTTATCACCATTTCTGAGAAACACTTGTACAAGTCTCATAATTAACCAATTTATCACGAAGAATTTTCTTTCGTTTAAATGTTCGTACTTATTAAACACACACTTATTTGTATTATTGCTTTCTTGAATAAAACAATAAAGAATTATTTTGGTTTCAAATTCTTAAGGTAGAAATAATTTTACATTAATCTCATAGTAGCATTATTGTTCTTGCCAGGACACTGGCAAAAATAATTAACTGATAAAATTTAGTTGCATAACACTTTAAACTATTCTGAAAAAAAAAATATTAATTATCCATAAAGGCAGTTGATATTTAGGGTCTTTCCAAGAAGTTTTAGTGAAATTGTTTAAAATTAATTAACCAATTTTCATCTACAGGTTTCATTTTTCTGTAAGGGAAGGATTAGAAACAGGAAACTAGAAGAAAATATTTAATTTAATTACAATAGCAGCACAGTAACAGCAAAAACAAACACTTTTTTCTTAATAGTAATAGAAATTATTTAAAATTACAATGAACCACATAAAACTATGTGAAAAACTGAATTGAAAGATACAAAGTGTTTAACTACAAATACATCTGATGGTATTGTTTTATAAAATTTAAAAAAATTTTGCTTTATAAATGTACAAAAAACAGAGAACCTTTGAATTACAGAAATAAATTGAAAAGCAATAATAATGTCATACCATAACACCATACATCGTAAACTTTTAATTTTCATTGCCTAAAGTAAATATATATCTATATATATGTGTGTGTGTGTGCATAATATAGAATTAATCATAGACTTTCTACATTAACTGATAAGCTTAAATAAATGTTTCTTATCAAGTTTAAGATACAGAAATCGGTCTCTCACAAAGAGCCATAAAAAGTCAAGATGAACCAGATAAAAGATTATTTTCGGAAGTTAATGGGCAATAATTTGTAGATAAAGTACACATTAAGATAGTCCCTAAAACTTCCCAGCGTCCGAGTGGCACTATCCTTTTAGCGAATCAAAATCTCTAATTTTTATCAACTGAATGACGCTTCATTAAGATAAGAATATCCTTGCAACCACCTCCTTTTAAATATCAGGACAGCCAAAAATGCGTGTCTTTTTCTTATAGTTTCATGGCTAGATAAATCTGGGCCAATTCCCAACATTCCTGCTATGGAAACCCGGTAATGTAAACGATTCAAAACTCCAAACAATGTTTTCAATACTCAATATAACTTAATAAAATGCCTATTTATCTGAATCAGCCTAAGTCTCTTAAATCATCTAGCCTTAAAAGGCATATATATATATATATATANTATATATGTACTTTAGGCAATGATTAAAGAGAAATAAAAAGGGGTAACAACCACAGATGTATAAAATCTTGGATTAGAAATTACTGAAAACTTAGAAAATTTTTGAAAATTGATCAGGTCACATGCACACTAATATAGCCGCGAATTATTTCATATAATTGTACAGTTTGGCATTTAAAAGCTTGAAAGAATCATTAAATTAAATTAATCAATCAATGCCTAGTTGTAAACAAAAAATAACAATAATCACATGCTGACATACCACGTAAACTTTAAAACATTTATACATTTTTATGACCATTGTTAAAAGTACAATAATTCTGACTCATCAATGGCCATCAAATAATTACTTCCCGCTTATAAGGTTCTGTGATGATCAGAATTCATGAATAAATTTCCTAGTTCCATTATACTGTAAATTTGTTACACAACAACTGTAACATTTTTTTTATTAAGATATAATAAAACCAGGATATATTAATAGTTAAACATTTTCATTCAAATCATTTATTTTTCTCATTCATAGTACCACCAACTCAAAGCATATAATAAGTCATTTATTTCAATAGCATAGTAGTATAGTTGGAATATTAAAAAATGTAATAAAAACAGGATATATTAACCCTCTGAGAGTTAGTCACGGCTTTTTCCGAACTTTTAGATGCAGTTTTTTTTTTTGCATCAAAAAAACGCATTTTTTCATGTCATTCAATAGGAAAATAGAACGAAGCAAGAAAATTTCTGTTCAATTTTACACAGGGGCTCCACACTTGGAGGGTTAATAGTAGTTAAACATTTTCGCTTAAAGCATTAAATTTTTTCATTCATAATACCACCAAGTCAAAGCTTATAATAAATTATTTATAGAATACATCTGCATAGTAAAACTATAAACTTTGAAGCCAAATTTAAAGAGTCGTCCTTGCAAAGTCCTAGAGCGCTTATCAAAGTCATTTTTAATAAACGTTAAATATGTTGTATTTGCGGGGGATTACATGAATAAAGTTTGAATGAACAAGTTTTTTGAACATGAATAATGCTTTGATATAATAAGAAATATAAAAAATAATAATAAACTTTAAAAATTTAAGGAATAAATAGAAAACAATTCAACAATTTACAATAAATATAAATCTAAACAATCTTACTTATTTTTCTTCTATTTAATTAGCCATTGGGAAAAATAAATCAATCAATGAAAAAATAATAATACTTTTTATAATTTGAGTTATTTTATCATTTTTTTTTTTTTTAATTAGTCAGTAGAGTAAGAAAAATGCTATTTACATCTTCCCCCATTTGACAGCAGTGTATTGCGAAGAAAATATAGCTTAAAATTAACTCCATGAATAGGAAACTAAATGCAAATGAGAATATTAGAATAGAGAATATTAGTTTGAATGCCTTTGAGTTAGAGAAATACATTATTGGAGGAATAGAAGGCTAACATTTGGTTAATTATAATAAATTTCCTTTCATGTGAACTTGGTCAGCCATTGCTCGAAGCAATTTTAAAATTTTATTATTTCAAACTAGAACAGAACATAAATTGGTTACCAACAATAATAGTTTTAGCTAGAATGGTCAGCAAACAATTGAATCAATCAAAAATAAAATTTCAATAAAATTAAAATGAATTTTTAATGTAAGGATAAATTTGAAATTAATTGGCTTTCAGTTGATTAACTTAGAGTAATATTTTGTTTCATTTTACATATAAAAAAATTTATATTTTTTATCATGTCAAAATAGATAAGAAAATATAAATAAACTACTAATTTTAAAAATTGGCAAAGATCAAAGAAACATTTTTGGCTTAAAGATTTGAAACAGACATTTTTTTAATGCATTCATTATTTTAAAACTTTTCAGACAAATTTTCTGACTGTAATGGAAATCCAATATATTTTTATATTTATGTAACAAAATTTTTTTAGAATCTACCAATATATTTAATCACATGAACATACTAATCTCTACTACTATTGGAAGTCTTTTAAATTTTAGGAACATTTCACTTTAAGGGGAAAAAACTGTACAAAGTTTGGTAAACAGAAACCAAATAAATACTATGTTACTTTAAAAATTAAGCTCAACCTCATTAAGAAATGCTAAAAACACAAAAAGGAAATAATGAAATACATTCAGTAAAGCAAGATATACATTAAAAAGATAAAAAAAAATAGTTTAAAAAAATCCACATTATACAAATTTACAATTAAATACACAACTAAAGTTTTTACTCGACTATCAGGATTTTTTATTGTTCCGTTAAGTACTACACAAAGGTAGGTAACATATACCTTTAAATATTAGCAATTTTTTAGCCTCATATTTTTACTCATATATTGTCAATTATGGATATTACTAATAATGGCAATACCTGTGAATAAAAATGAACATGAAGTTAAAAAATATTCTGTCCCATTTTTATTCATTTCTATTGCTAGATCGGACAATTAATAGCAATGGCAAAAAGCAAAACCCATAGATTGCAAACTATCAGAGTAATTATAGAAACCAAAAAACTTTGCACTTCCAGGGTGCATAGCCAGATTTTTCAACAAAAAATAAGCACCATTTATATACTTTTTAAGCACTAAAAAAATATTTTTAATCTCTTCCCCCCCAAAAAAAAACATAATTAGGATATGTGCATTAATAAAAAAATATTTTTTCCTAATGTCTAAAATTCTTAATTTATGAACTTAAAATCAGTAAAATTCAATAACATTTTCAATAACTTTTCATAAGTATGGTAAAATAACTAGTTTCTGATTAATATTGCAGAGAAAATTTCGAAAATCGTGCATTTTTTGTAATTTAGAACAACAATCGACATGGTAAAAAAAAAAAATCTCTTTTTACAAAATGGAAAATTAAGAGCTTTTTACAAGCCCCAAATAAAAAAAAAAGCATCTTTAAGGGCTTTTAAAAGACGTATTTCACAAAAAAGCACTTTTTAAAAACACTATGCACCTTGACTTTATATACATTGCTAGTTATGGTTATTAACAACAATGGCAAAACCCAAAGTTGACAATTTGAATAAATATATGCAAGCAAAAAGGCTATTGCGAAAATCTTTAGCTCATCTTAAATAGAAAAAGAACACGAAAGTGCAATAAATATTTTAAAATTAATTTTTTTTTTTCCTTTTAAAAACAGAAAACTAAGATTGGACAGCTAATTTGAACAGCCCTTCACATAATTATCACACTGTGTCAACATTTAGCCATCAGTTACTCATTTTATACAGCGTTTAGAGTATAATTAACAAACACACGAGGTAAAAACTGTCGCGCAATTGAAAAAACAACGCAAGTGCTTCACGATTGATTCCGAATAAAGTGGCTAGACAACCTTCTATTGCTAATGCTATGAAGGCTAAAATAGAATCTCAAGAAACTGATAAAACAAAATTTATTTTTGTATTTTTTTGCAATATGTAGCTTATTGTATAAAGATGCCTAATATATAAAACTCTTAATTCTTAATTTTTTTGTTGCTTACGTTGATTTTTCAATTAGACTGCAGAATAGTCATCTGAATTTTATATACATTTACATAAAACTTGCGAAATAGATTATAATTATAGATACATATATTGAAAAAAATAGTCAATGCTAAGAATTTGTTAAAAAAAAAAGAATAGTCAGGGATTTAAGCATTTTCCCATTTTTTTCCTTCTTTTTCGTGTTAATAATTTTTGTTTTAAACATTGAAATTAAGATTTCAGAAGTCAAGAACAAAAATTGGAATAAGTAAGTAGAAAATTTTACATTTACTAATATTAACTGGTTTTTCAATTTCAGAGAACTATTTTTACAAAATAGTAGTAAAAAAATTTAATTTTTTTTTTAAAAAATTAAAAATATTTTACAAAAGTTAAGTATGTTACAAAACTGAAAACATTTTAAATGTAGCACCATTTCTATCATACACTTTTTTTCAATAGAAGTATTTTAATACTGAAATTAAAAATATCGCATAAGAAAGTACTGATTGTCATGCTGAAATATGCACAACATATTTCAAACATTTAAAAGCAAAATTAATTTCTTATTTAATCCTTTATCTATAAATAAAAATTATTAATATTACCTTTAATATTTTTATAATTGAGTGCAGAATAAAATCTACTTTTAGAGATTCCCTTTCTTTACCGCCAACACATTTTAATTCGTAAGGCTAAGAAAAAGAGCCTTGGCATTAATTTGAATTAATTAATAGCCAATACATGGATTCCTTAACATTCCTTGCCAAAAACAATGCTAACGTATACATAACAATAAAATTTTTTATTTCTTAGCGGACGGAGATGTTCTGTGGGGCTGAGCCCTGCAAGTCAACTAANGGGCTGAGCCCTGCAAGCCACATCCTCCGGGCAACTTTCCAAATTTATAATTTGATAATGTATATTTATGTTAAAAAATTAGGATTAATCTTTACCTTAGAGCTCCCCATAATTTTTTTAAAAAAAGCATTTATATTATTATAATTTAAATTTTTTTATTAGGCAATTTATGATTTTTGACAAATAATTGCTTGCCTACATCACTCCGGAATGAATATGGAAATACGTCAATCAACATCTCCTTCAATGAATAGTTAATACATCATACAGCATCAACAAAATCAAACTTTTTAATAACACTGATAATTACATAAAATAAAAACTTAAAATCCTCTTAAACTTGACTTTTTCTAGACTCTGATAACTAAAGGAATGTATATTTTTTTCCATTAAAAATTAATAATTTTCAATCAGATTAGATTGTCAGAGAAAAAGTATTTAAATAAAATGGTTTAATTATGCTTTCAACTGACTGTAGAGTCAGTTGAAATCAGTTCTGGTGATGTCAGAGTCAGTACATCACCAGATTTAATTACAAATATAATTTATCAGCCCCAAAACTATTGTCTTTTATTTTCATCTAAACTATTTCTACTATCTTATTAGATGATCATAACAAATTTGACAATTAGAGACATTGGTATTTACACCTATCATCAGCATGAAAACAGTAATTAAAACATTACCAAAAACACAAGAATCTAAAAACACATGTAAAGCTCAAGACATTGTGTAAACAAACTATTTAGAATTTCATTTTTAAATCATTTAATCTTACACACAGGAAAAAAAAATTTCTTTAAAAAAGAATCACAAAAAATAAGAATTGAACACAAAGTTCATTAGAGAAAAATTCAAAATACACTGGAGGAATAAATATGTAAACAAATAATACAAAAAAAATGGAACAATATATTTTGAATGTCATAAAAATACAATAAGCAAGATAAAAAGGAAAAAAAAAAGTTTCACCACACAGAAGGTTTTTTTTTATGCGAATGTGATAATGAAAATTTTAACCAAAAGTCTAAAACAAAAAAATTCATTTTGAAAACTGATTTTTTTATTTATTTTTTCCATATTAATAGCACCATATTATTAAAGTCTCTGACTCCAAGAAATATCAGCACTAAATTAAATTGAAAACTATACTTCGGATAACAATAGAAAATTTAGTGTGTTTTATTACATTAAAAATTATAAAATATACAGTACAGAACCCGTTATCCGGAAAACCAAAAAACCGGAACAAAATTCGATAATTTTCCCGCCATTTAAAAAAAAAAAAAATTTTTTCCTCATAAGATTTCAGGATTTTTCCTTCTTTTTTGAAACATGTTTACCTTACCATCATTTTGGAAATAATCATTAGTGTATTACTTCACTGTTTTTTCTTCTTTTTAAGATTATTTCCAAATAATTTCTTTTTTTTTTTTAGTGTTGGGTTTAACAATAAAAAAAACGGCTTCTTGCAGAGATTCAGAGAACCGGAAAAATCAGTTAACCAGAATAGCGATGGTCTCGATCGTTCCGGATAATCGGTTCCTTACTGTATTTAGCTCATTTTTAAGTGTGTTAGAAATCACTCAAATATTATGCAAACGAATTGTCAAGCTGTACACTTAAGGAAAATTATTTTCATTACATAGGAGACTTACTTATTGCTTAAAAAATTTTTTTTAATTCATTTCAGTTAAAAAGTGGTTTGTTATTGTCATAAATTTTATTGATTTTTACTAGCAAACATGTGTTATGGGTCTCTTAATCAAATAATTATAGAAATTAAAATATGATAGTTAAGAAGAAAAAAAACTTTTCAAAAAATATTTTTATGAATAAAATATCTTTAAAAAATATGATTTTTCCATTGAATTCATATACTGTAATTATTCATATAATGTAAGAGAAAAAGCCACTTTCCCTTTCCTAGAGATTACATAATATCTGAATTGATTCTAAAATCATAGGAAAATTCAACAGTTGAATATTGAATAAAATATATCAAAAAACATTAAAAATTCAATATCAAATAAGAGTATTGAATTTTCACAATTTTATTACCTGAAGTTAGAGAAATCAAAAATCTTAGAAATCATCCAGTTTAAATATAGTAATAGCATAAGAATTAAACTGTATATAAAGTAAATAAATTGTTCTGTGACCTTATTAAAATGTTATATATGTTGAGTTCTGTATAAATAGATCACAGTACACATACAAATATGATATGTCCTCTTTAGAACATAGAATAATCTGAAACAAAATAAAGGCAAAGCTCTTAAGAAGAAATATTTCTAGGTAGCTAAAATGATCCCATAGAAAATGTAATAAAAGTACACAGTATAAAAATATATTTAAAATAGTCCATTCTTTCTAGCATAGGGGAGTTCACAAAATGTTAGCAGTTTTTAAAATTTAAAAATATTCAAATGCAATTTAAAAATGTTAATTTCAACTTTTGATTAACATTTCCCCTCAAAATTAAGAGTACAAAATAAAAAAATTAGGATAACTAATAAGGAATATAATAATAAAAAATTCTTAAACACATTCTTAGAAAAAAATCTTCAACTTAGATAACAATTTATATGTAATTCTGCTAAAAGATTTTTTTCTCATTTTTTTAATAATTTATTTAAATAACATAAATCTAATTTTTTAAAAATTGTGATGTTGATTTAAATTAAGTTACAAGTGTTACATTTAAGGTCAGTAATTTAACAATGCTAAAAAGCTTATCATTTTAAAATATTTTAAATATTGAAGATTTGACCTTACAAATAGTTTTATAAATAATCATGTTGGAATCATAAGTAAATCATTCTTTGAACAACACATAACATCACATAATTTAAAAAAGAAAAATCAGAGAAATTATTAAGGATTGGATCCTATAAAAACTAAGGAGTTAATCCTATAAACACTATTTTTACATTTATAGCACTTTTTAATAAATAGTCAAGATATTACTAATTGCAAGAATTTAAGCAAAATATTTGAAAAAAGGAATTCCTAAAATTTGGGCATTACGAAAAAAACAATTATTAATTTAGTTCAACAAGAAATTTATCTGTTAACATTTTGTGAAACCTCCTACAATTAAAACAGATTGTTTATTTAATTTTACTAATTCTTCATGTCACTTGCCAGCCTTTCTTATCAATACCCTTGTGTTCCTTTATATGCTTGTATCTACAGACCTCACCGTAAACACAACCAGTTGTTCGCCAGAAATAGCATTCATTGCCATTAACTGGACCCATTTTCTTAACTTCTTGACCAATAACTCTAATAAAAATAATAAAAACAATTAATTATGCATTTTGTTTTTCAAATTATACACTGCTTGTCAAATGCTAAGATATACTCTTTTAATTCCATGCACTTAATTTTTACAATCACAAAAGGAAAGAAAAAACTTAAAAAAATTTTCTTTATATTTTTATTTCATTGAACAAAAACTTGGCATTGTGCACTAAAATCACACTGCATGAGTTGTAAACTGCTCTTATACAAATCAAAACGTGGATCTACAGATTGTATTCATGCAATTCCAAGTCTTTCCCATTCTCCCTGACCCTTGAGAGTTTTGATTTAATGTCAGATAAGATTTATAACAAGTTTATAAAATATAGTTCAAAATAAATAGCAATAATAGACTGTTACTCACAATTCTAATATTGGTTATTTTTCAGGTATGATGTAGAAATTTTCATGTTTTTTTTTTTTTTAAATAAAAAAATTTAACTTTTCCTGATTATTTCCTGCTTTTTAGTGTCAAAATAAAATTCCCTGACAATTCCAAGTCCTCCCTATTCTTCCTGACCCTTGGGAGTTTTGCTTTAATGTCAGATAAGATTTATAACAAGTTTATAAAATATAGTTCAAAATAAATAGTAATAATAGACTGTTACTGACAATTCTAAGACTGGTTATTTTTCAGGTATGATGTAGAAATTTTCATAGTCTTTTTTTAATAAAAAATTGAACCTTTCTTGATTATTTCCTGCTTTTTAGTGTCAAAATAAAACTCCCTGACAATTCCAAGTCCTCCCTATTCTTCCTGACCCTTGGGAGTTTTGATTTAATGTGAGATTAGATTTATAACAAGTTTATAAAATATAATTCACAATAAATAGTAATAATAATTAAANAACTTGTCATTGTGCACTAAAATCACACTGCATGAGTTGTAAACTGCTCTTATACAAATCAAAACGTGGATCTACAGATTGTATTCATGCAATTCCAAGTCTTTCCCATTCTCCCTGACCCTTGAGAGTTTTGATTTAATGTCAGATTAGATTTATAACAAGTTTATAAAATATACTTCAAAATAAATAGTAATAATAATTAAAATAAAACACAAAAATTAATAAGAAGAAATTTAATTTAACTTACCCTGGTTTCTTCTTTACAGCTGTAGGTGCAGCTGGGGCAGCAGTTTCCCCTGGCAAGTTAGGAAACCGTATCACTAAATTATATCCACTCAACTCATATCCCTAAAGTTGAAATTATTTTTTAGGTTTATTTTAAGTGAATTGAAATACATCGGCAAAAATTTTCGTTGATACATTCAAAATCATACCTGAAGGGCTTGCATAGCTTTTCCTGGAGATGCTTTACTCTTATAATTGACAAAGGCACAAAACTTTTCAGGGATTGCTTTCACACTTATTAATTCACCATATCTAATCAAGAGAATATTAATAAGTAAACTGTATAAATAATTTATATAAATACCCAAAAGGCACACATGGTAATATTTGTAGCATTTTTCTTTTTAATATTTTAAATACTAAAGCTTCTTTATCAATAGAAATTGCAAAGTCATATAAATGTTATTGAATACATTTTATAAACATGTAATTGTTCAAATATAAAAACTGAAAAAAATGTTCCAAAGGATCATTACCCAGATGTACTGCTGTTTCATTAGGCAAAATGTTGGTGCCATGTTTTCTGAAGCATTATACAGTTTTCAGTTAGACATAAAAATAACACTACGTTAAAAAAGTTTCAAGATTGGTATTTTTCTATGCTCTATAACTACCTGCACAGGGCAATTCAGTAGTTAAAAACCAGAGAAGTCCAAAAACAGATTTAGAATATTATCAAAAGTCTAAAATAACCCCAATTTTAACTTTTCTCATATTAAAAGATTGCAATTAAAAAAGAATAAGCTCAGAATACACTTCTCCACCCCCACCCTAACAAAAAACTGCACAATTATTTAAAAAAAAAAAAAAAAAGACTTGCTCATATTTTTCATTGTATGCTTTTTTGTTTTGTTTGTGAGACTGTAAAAACAAATTCCCTTTTTCCTTTGGTTTTTTAGCTACAATTTACTGGAATAAATAATTGAAAGTAATTGGAAGTCCATTTAATTACAGCAATTAGTTAGGAAAAACACACAAAATACTCAGATTAATTAAAATAAGTATTTCTAGCAATTGTTTGTCAAATCAATCTATACACCAATCACTTCAATTACTTTTTTCAGCTAAGTTTAAAATATTTCAGTTTATTCCATTGAACTCCTAATATTTTAGACATTTTCTGGCTGTTGGTTCAAATGTTCTTTGCCGGTATAAAAAGCCTCATTAAAATAAAATTTTAACTCTTTCTGTTCATTAAATTAGTCTGAAAAATTCTATTTTTAAGCAGAAAACAGCCCACTAGTCCTTTTGATAAAGCACTCCATGTGTCTTTTAATCCTGATTATGTGTCTGATGTTTAATTAACAAATTCTATTCCCAAAGATTTAGCCTTTTCTAGCAATTTTTTTAAATTCCAATATTTTTAATACTGTGTTATTATAGCACAGGTATTTTGCATTTGAATGATCACACATTCAATTACTTTCAATGAAATTATAAGAATTGAATTAATCCTCACATGCAAACATAAAACAGTCATAAATTCAGATACTAATGACAAATAGATAAGAAACCATATCTAATACAATACAAAATGTTTTAGTGCATTTATTTTCTGATAATTCAACCAGTAAGAGTACAAATAATGTAATTTCTGTAGAAAAATCAGTTCATCTAAAAACTATAGAAAATATAAAATAAATAAAAATTATTATTATTATTGAAATAAGCATTTAAATTAACTTAAATAAGTATAAACATAACTTAATAAGTATTGAGATAAATAAATAATAACTTAAATAAGCATCAAAATAAGCATATTAATTATTTTATAACTTTAATGGTTTAACAAAAAAATTTAAAATATTATAAATTAATTTAATACATCATGAAAAAATCAAATAGTGTAACAAACTCATTATGAATAAAGCTTTATCAAACTTCAGATATCAACTACATTGCATCAATATCAACTTAGGCAAACTTGAATCAACGAGTGGAACCCATTCACAACTGAACACAAGTACGTAGATTAGTCCACCTTTTTTGGACCAAGATGAAAAGTAACAACCACTCAAAATTTAGTATTTCAATCTAATCCAGAGTTAAATTCTTATTATGGGCTCATTAAAGTGTTTTTGATGTTGCTATGTAGTTGTTAAATAAATTAAGTTACATTTAATTTTTCAAGTTATTAATTTTTAACGTAAAAAGAGTTTCAACATTTTTAATTCCAAGTTTTGAAATTTTTTTTAAAATTTCATATTTTAAAAATTTATGCAAAATGTTCTCATTAATTTCATGAAGTATTCATTTAAAGTACTAGCTACTTTTAAGTACTATATAAAAAATATTAATTACATTGATATAAATCAATCTTAAGTAGACATCCTGTATTTAATGCTAACGAGCAATTAAATTTTAATTTAACTTCTTAAAATTCAAATATGTTAACTTTTTACTTATTGAGCGCGAATTCATCAGCATGAATGAAATAATGAGAGTTAGCATTAATTAGAACAACATGAAACAAATTACTAGAATTGTTTAGAACATTTATCATTATTATTACTTTACATTAATTAAAGTTAACATACCAATTCAGGAACACATGTTTAAATTGATTAATAATACTTATGAACGAAATAATTTAATTTTAAAAAAATTATAAAAGCTTATAAGAGCATAGTAATAAAATCATTGAAATGATGTCAAAATTTTGGAGAATATCAAGTTTACAAAGAAGGTTCATTAAAAAAGTTGTAAAATTATTTTACTGAATATAAAAAAATTAACTTACTTCCCAAACATTGTAGTTAATTTTTTTTCAGTGACATCCGGTTGAACATTCCCAATCCATATAGAGTTATGTCCTTCAGGATTTTTAGGGCTGATAAAAATATAAAAAATAAGTAACAATAAATGAAGTACATATGCAACTTTTTATTTTCAGAAAGGTTCAAAATAGGAAATAAATATAAAACTAAAACATTATGTGCAATGTATAAGTGTTTAGCACTTCACTTGTTATATCTGCGTAGCTACTTTTTACGTAGTAACAGAAATTTCTCTATTTAAAGTATATAATAACATTTTCCTTAATTATTTAGGGATAAGATTTTTTTTCTGCACAGTTAATCGAAAAATTTTGAGTTTGAGGAATGGAAAAAATATTTTTGTATTTTTTTTAAATATAAATATATATATTTTTTCTTAAAATTTTTTATCAAATATAAAATTTTGTTTAAATTAAACAGAACAGAAAAATGCACTTTGAATGAAATGTTTAATGTAAAAAACTAAATGATGCACACAAAAAAGAAAACAAAAATATTTAATCTTGTTAGTTGTTTCATGACTGTAGTTAAAAAATTCAATTCATATAGTATATATTGATTGCTACATAAGGATTGCCGTTACAAACTAGAGCCCTAAAAATGGGACTAGGCACTTGGACATGGTTGAGTGATGTGTTACATATGGATCATATTAAACTGGTTTGTTAATAGTTGTTTTTAGTTATCTCTGACAGACTTTAAAAAAAAAAAAAAAAAAGGAATAAAACTGAACAAATAAATTTTTTGATTTCTTACTGACAGCTCAAATGCACATTTAATTCTTACAAGAATTACTAATTTTTTTATAATTTTTAGTTTTTATATTATTTACGCTTATTTTAAATTTATACTCATGATTCTACCTATAATTCATCACTGGAAAATACATTAATTAATAACAATTGTAATTGGAAAATACATTAATTGACAAGTTAAGAATTTTCTCATTATTCTCTCAGGACATTTGCCTTCAAATAAAGAAGCTATGAGGTGCCTTTAAAAAAAAATGTGATAACAAATACAGTGAGGTACAAATCAATGAACATACAAACGTGCCAACCTAGCAAANACTCAAAATTCGGGAGACTCCCGCAAAATGCGGGAGAGTTGGCACGTCTGAACATATCAATGCAACATATTAAAAACAGTTTTTGAAAGAGGCAAAGTGATTCATTCATATCTGTATCATTGTTTATATTGCATCGATATTTTACGACCAACGAATGTCCGAATTTATTACTCCCTAGACACCCTGACTTTCATAAAATTTGAGAGGTCTGAAAAGTTGACTAATACATCGAACAGTATCTCAATCAATAGTTTATATAAAATAGAAAATTCTTCAACATTTGCAATTTATGCAGAAAAGTAGAGTAAAGCATTCCCTGCAGCAGCCCATTATGGTTTGTAGGCCAGAGGGGTCCTGAAGGTTAAGGCTTTACAATTTTGTGACCAACGGTATGATTGAAGCAATGAGGTCAGCAATGTGCACGGGCCACATTTACTTACCAGATAAGCTGGTACTCATCGATTTGAGGCTGGGAGGACTTCAAGCCGTCACTGAGAATCAGACCCCAGCTCTTCACCACCTATCCAGAAAGTGCCTTGAATTCCCCATGTCTATTCCATTAATTCAAAATTCCCAAGTACCAGGACATTCCCAATCAAAATTCCCAGGTTTTTCTTTTCACCCTAACTAGAAATAAACATACTCTCTTTTGATGTCATAGTAGGGTGATTGAGTAGCGGATGGAGTCAGATGTGGAGTAGGAGGCTTTGGCTTAGGTTTTGGTGGAGTCTTATCTATATTTTCAATTTCATCATCAGAAATGAAGATATCTAAATCGTCTCTGACTTGAATTCTTGATACTCCGCTGGAGAGCAAACTTGCCAGAGCCTCTGCAACTGAGCCATGCCTTGACAGGGATTCCTCAGCAACTTCTTTTGTAAATCCTTTCTCCTACAACAAACGTGTTTATTAAAAAATAATTGGATAAAGGTAGAATTATTTTCTGAGTAAAAATCGATAATTAAAGGAAAAATCATTTTTCAGTAAAAATATAAGGAGATAAAAACTTTGATGAATTAAAAAATGTTACTAAAATGACACATTATCTAAAAACACTTATAGTCAAATTGAAAAACATTAAAGTTTAATGAGTCTAAAATTCACTTTAAAAACTCAAATTTTGATTCTTTTTTTAAGAATACAATGCGTATTTTAGTTTTTAGTTTTAAAAATATAGAAAAATACAAAAATATCGAAATTTTAAAAAAATATGCTTAAAGCATAACATTTAGATTCCCTGGGATCTACATGAAAACTTTAATAACAAATATATATTATAATAGTCTAACCTTGAGTTGGAAGATGAAAAAAATAAAATTTTGTTAATAAAATTGTTACATTTTATCCACAATTTGTTTTTGTTTTTTTTGTTTTTTTTTTACATTACATTTCTTCTACATTATAAATTTTTGAATTTAAAAACTAAAATTCGTTTGTATAGAGGACTTAAGTATTTTTCAATTTTAAAAATATTGTTGATAAATATGCAAACACAGTAACAACTTTTTATCAATTTGAAATTTCGAAAATTAGTTTTTAAAGATAATAACCTTTATATCAAGTACAGAATCTCCTTTAAAAAGTGAATACAGCATACAATAGAAAAAAAAATTAAGAATTAAAACATAGGTTATATTGAGATTTTAAATATATATGAAAACAAAAGAACGACTTAAAAACAATTCTATTAAAAGACTGAAATTATTTTTATATAAACAAATTTATTAAAAGGCTAAAGTTTATTTTTATATAAGTAAAGATACATCTTTTAAGAAAAGGTCAACCCTGGTACATAAATCACATTTATATATGAACTGCAACAAACTAAATGCTTCACATTTTTAGAAATAACACTTTTTAAAATGTTTTAAATAAGTTGTTTAACTGTGGATCATGTAGCTCAATTTTTATTTCTTGACTTATCAAGAGAGATCTGTCATTTTGAATCGTTTAAATTTGTTTTTATAATTTATCTTGATTAACATGTAATGATAAATTAATAATACAACATTTTGTGACATTAATAGACGAATATCTTCGTTTTATAGAAATAAGGTATGGAATATGGTAACATGGCACCAAATTTATTCAATTTAGAATATAAAAATCTATAAAACACAATCACAGAAATTGCACTCACCATGATTTGCAACAGCTTTGCTTTACGCAATTCAGATATAGCATCTTCACAATCATTGTCCAGTTTTAGAACTTCAACAAAAAATTTTTCAGCTGCAGCATATTTCTAGATAAAATAAAAACCCATTTACTACTTACAAAAATTGTAAAAAATCATAAATTAAAATTAAAAAGAAAACTATAAATGCATACATAAAATTACTTGTTTTTACAGAGGAATAAAATATATTTTTTAAAAAAAATAAAGCACCATGGTTATCAAGCAACTAAGTTGCATCCACTCAGGCATTATACACATAAAAAAAAAAAAAAAAAACTCGTTCTCAAATCTCTCACTCAAAAAAAGAAAAAACTCATTCATTTCATACTCATAATAAAATATACTCACTTTCTGACCCAATAAAGCTCTTCCTTTCCGAAAATAACCTTTAGGCCACACTGGACACAGTTTAATTGATTTTTCTGCATCTTTTAATGCTCTAAAACAAAAGAATAATTTAGGAATAATAAAGCAAAACATATAATTTTGCCACAATAATTTGCCTACTTCTTGCATTTTAAAAACAAAGTGAAAGTCTTAAATAAATCCCAAAATTGATTCTCATAGACTATAAAGAGCAGATTTGAATTCAAAAAATTAGAAGGAAATAGAAAAAATAGAAAAGGAAAGAGAAAACACTGTTATATTTGTAAAAATCTATTAATTGAAATTTATTACAACCATTGCTTTTTCTTTATTGCTAAAATTAAATATTTAAATTTAGTTGGACCCAAATTTAAGATTTAGTTAGTAAATTAGCTATACAACTATAACCAGTAGCTTAGTTAAATTTCAAGAAGGAACCCTTTTATGTAAAGATAATAAAGTTATGATATAATAATGAATTATTCAAACCTTTCATAAAAAAATGAATGTTATTGCTTTCATTAGCAAATTCACTTATTTTCTAAATTCTTCAGTTAAATCTTAAAAGGAAAAAAAAACTAAATAATTTTAGTTGTTTTATCCCTGAAACATTCAAAATAACTATGCCATAAAGACTGTATTTACTGTGTTACTCCGATGTGATTGTTCAAATGTATATAAATTTCTATTCATTATATCATTAAATATCAATATTATATAACTCACATTATTAAATGTGAATATTATATAAATTTATACAAAGAATAAAATAAGATAATATATGACTTTCACATATATTAAAAACACAAAAGAAAAATGAGTGTATGATAAAAATAAAATATAATAAAAGCGTTACTGGAAATTGGAAAATACTTCCAATTTCCAAAATTGGAAAGAACAAAATTCAATGATTTTTACTTTATTTTCTGGAGGGAGAAAATTATGAGTCATGATAAAAACAAAAACCCAGAATTTCTATTTTAAATCATGTATTAAAATATTTTAAACTTTCAATAAATAAACTTAAAAAAGAAAATTCATACTTATCAAACATTCCAAGGCGATCATAACAATAAGAACGGTTTCCATAAAACCTTTAAAAAAACATTCATAACTCATCAGGCAAAAACAATATATAATGCAACTAATAACAAGATAACATTACAATGAACAAGATACAAGACAATGAACATTATAAAAAAATTGTGAGCTAAAATGTATCATAACCATTTTTTTTTTTTTTTTAAATGACAAATGATTTAACAAGAAAACAATAAACAGAAGAGATAATTTTATACCAATTCAGTGAATCTTATTAAATGTAAATTACAGTGATAAACATTTATAACCACTGAATAAGCACACTACTAGACTGTTCCACACTGGCAGAATCATATTTTAAGTTAGCTCTAAATTATAGCCAATATGAAATAGTTGTTTTTGAAGGTCAGAACTCGGATGTCCCTTAGTTTTGTTTTTTTATTTTCCTATATGTGGACCTTCTATTAAATAGTATGCATTATGTGCACATACTTAATAACACATGAAGAGTATAATCCATAATAATCCATCTAATTTATTCATTTTTTATTGTTTTAATTTCTGCAACAATTCCTTAAAATTATAACTTTT